TGGCTGATGAGAGCCGTTTGAACCAGATGGGGGCGGTTGTGGCTGTAGACTGGGGGGTGTCCCGCTCTTTCCAGGTAGGGCAGTGGTTTTATTTAGTCTCGCTTATCACGGTTTGTACTAATGACTGTTTTGTTATGCAGTCATTCACGAGCAGTTTACACTTGAAGAGGTCCGTAGTGGCGTAGGAAAAGAGGATTCATGATGTGTCTAAGGCGAACTCTAGTCTGCGCCAGAGGGAGGTAGCAGCCCAGAAGGTCGAGCAGGAGAGCCAGCAGCGTCTAAAAGCGGTCGAGGGTGAGTTAGAGAGGCTAAAGAGAGAGTTAGCCAAGAAGACTGCCGAGATTGCGTCCTTGAAGGAGCAGTGCCTCTCCATTGCTGACGATGCCATTATTAAGGCACGGGGGGAGCTCATGCTCGAGTATAAAGCAGGGAACACTTCCCACTGGAATTCGGATGAGGACATCCAGCTTATGCAGGAGGTGTTAGATGAGGGGGCTGAGCACACGGAGGAGCAGATTGACGAGCAGATGCTCGATTTTGCTAGTCAGTCGGGACCATCGGTCATTGGGGGTGTGGACGACCAGGCTGCAAGGACGAGCACTGCTGGTGACGGGGTGACCGAGTCGGAGATGGGAGAGATGACTCGCATCGACGACACTTAGCTTTATTTCTGTTCATTTATGTATTTTGGGGCCTACGATGCCCTCTCATGGCGTGTGTGCCTTTTATTTGTATTTCTGAACTAAGCCTATTGAGGCTGTTTATATGTTAAAAAACCCGCTGTTCTGTTTTTGATGATTTCTTGATGGGTGAATGCATTGTTGATTGCTTCTTTGCTCATAGATGTACTAGTGGTAGTACTCTTATGTTGTGCTGTGACTTTGGTGGGGCCCATTGGCTGTCTTGCGTACTCTCTGCTACGCTGGGTCGATGATTTATCGATTTTTAGTGTCCTAGTAAGAATTCTTCATTTGGTATGGCTGTCTGGTTGGGTAGCTTTATGAACCGGTCAGAGCCGGTCAACGATGTACATACGTGGATCGGGCAGGCCGATCCGAAGGTGTGACTTCATAGGTCGAGCATGAGCGATTCGAAGGTGTAGATCCGTGGATCGGGCGAGGCCGATCCGAAGGTGTGATAACGTGAATCGAGTAGGGTCGATCCACGGGGGTGATTCCGTGGATTGAGCAGGGTCAATCCGAAGGTGTAATTCCATGGATTGAGCAGGGTCGATCCGAAGGTGTAATTTCGTGGATCAAGCAGGGTCGATCCGAAGGTGTGATTTCATGGATCGAGTAGGGTCGATCTGAAGGTGCGATTCCGTGGATCGAGCAGGGTCGATTCGAAGGTACGATTCCGTGGATCGAGCAGGGTCGATCCGAAGGTGTAGTTCCATGGATCGAGCAGGGTCGATCCGAAGGTGTAATTTCGTGGATCAAGCAGGGTCGATCCAAATGTGTAATTTCGTGGATCGAGCAAGGTTGATCCAAAGGTGTAATTTTGTGGATCGAGCAGGGTTGATCTGAAGGTGTAATTTCGTGGATTGAGCTGGGTCGATCCGAAGGTGTAATTCCGTGGATCGAGCAGGGTCGATCCGAAGGTATACGAATAATTTGATCGAGCGGGGTCGATCCGAAGGTGTGAATCTCTGAATAATACTTTATTAAGTTCGAGCCGTAAGGCCGACTGTCTGGAAGGAGGTGGATAGGCCCACTCATCCCTTTAAAAATAAAAACGAAAAGAAACAAACTTTTAAATGAGTGAGTTCACCTAAAAGTAGTAACATTTGAGGTGGATTGCATTCCAACTGTTGTTGATGTCTTTGCCTTCCGAGGTCTGGAGTCAGTAAGCACCCTTCCCCGCTTCTTTGATTATCTTGTAGGGACCCTCCCAAGTGGGCCCGAGTTTGCCAGAATTGATCTCTCTAGTGTTTTGAAAAACCTTACGGAGGACCCAGTCGCCAGTCTTGAAAGTTCTGATCCTAACACTACGGTTGTAGTGTTGGGCGGCCTGCTGCTGGTAGATAGCATTGCGGATGCTGGCTCGCTCGCAGAGTTCATCGACGGTGTCCAAGTTCTGGCAGAGGTTCTGGCTATTGATTTCTTCATCCGCCCATTGGAGCCTGGTGGACGGCACTAATACTTCGGTCAGGATGACCGCTTCAGAACCGTACATGAGGGAGAAGGGGGTTTCGCCTGTTGATGAGCGGGCTGTAGTTCGGTAGGACCAAAGGACTCCTTGTAGTTCTTCTACCCATGCACCCTTCGCTTTCTGCAATCGCTTTTTCAGGGTCTGCATGATGGTTTTATTTGATGACTCGGCCTGGCCGTTGGACTAGGGGTTGCGGGAGGTGGAGAAGCTAAGCTTGATCCCTAAGCTTGATCCCCCACATGTCGTAGAAATCCCTGAATCCTGAGCTGATAAACTGGGATCCATTGTCAGTGACGATTTCCTTTGGTATCCTGAACCTGCAGATGACATGTTTCCATATAAAAGCTTTTACCTCTCTATCTCTGACTTGTGCGAAAGCTTCGGTTTCGATCCACTTGGTGAAGTAATTTGTCACAGCCAACATGAAGACTCATTGTCCGGGTGCAGTCGGTAGTTTCCCGACTATATCCATTCCCCACTTCATGAAAGGCCAAGGTGTGATGATAGAGTGGAGTCGCCCGGGTGGGAGGTGCCATATATGAGCAAATCTCTGACAACTATCGCATTTCCTAACATAAGCAACTGAATCAGTGCGTATGGCTAGCCAGTAGTACCCAGCGGTGATCACCTGGTGTACAAGGCTGCGTCCCCCAGCGTGGTTTCCATATTCGCCCTCATGGAGTTCGGCGAGAACATGTTTGGCTTCCTCTGGGCTTGTGCACTTGAGATAGAGACTGGAGAATAATTTCCAAAGGAGTTGGCCCTCATAGATGGTGAATCTTGTAGCTTTTGCCCTCAGTCGGCTTGCCTCGCTCTTGTCAGCCGGGAGTTCGTTGTGCTCTAAGTACTTCACTATCGGGTCATCCATCAGTCGGCTAGCTCAATATCCATTGTTTCTTCCATCGACTTGTTTGGTGGTTGCTCCTGCCAGTTGGCTGGCCATTGTAGGAACAAAAGGGGGATGGATGACTGGGAAGAACATTGGAGTGCTGAGCCGAGGTTGGCAAGGGCGTCAACGTGACAGTTCTCCGCTCTTGGGATATGGGCGATGGAGAACTCTTCGAATTGGGACTGCAGTTCTTTGACCAGGTTCAAGTATGCCGTCATCTTCGAGTCGCGCGCCTGGTAAGTACCTTGCAGCTGGTTGACCACGAGCTGGGAGTCGGACTTCACTTCCAATCTTTTCGCCCCGACCTCTTTGGCTAGGGAGAGTCCAGCGATAAGAGCCTCATATTCGGCTTTGTTGTTCATGCACTTAAACCCGCACCATATTGCCTGCTGGATGACGTCTCCCTCTAGTGTAGTCAGTACTAAACCGAGTCCACTTCCATTCACGTTACTTGATCCATCCACTGAAAAAGTCCACTTGGAGGGTGACCTGTCGCCCATGCATAATATCTCTTCCTCCGCTCGCATGGTGGTGCTTGGGGTGAAATCAGCAATGAAATCTACCAATGCTTGGGACTTGACGGTGGTGCGAGGCTGGTATGATATGTCGAACTCACTAAGCTCCACTATCCACTGTGTGAGTCGGCCTGATAGCTCCTGTTTGTGTAGTATCTTTTTGAGTGGGAAGGAGGTGAGGACGATTATGGGGTGGCACTGGAAGTACGGCCTAAGTTTTCTGGAGGCATGAATGAGTGCAAGGGCCAATTTCTCCAGTTGACTGTACCGTGTTTCTGCATCGACGAGTGACTTGCTGACATAGTAGACCGGTAGCTGTTTCGTGTCTTCCTCCCGAACTAACACGGCTGAGATTGCTGTCTCTGAGACTGCCAAATAGGTGTAAAGTTTCTCCCCGTCCACCAGTTTGGAAAGGAGCTTATGGGAGGTCAAGTACCTTTTTAGTTGTTGCAAGGCTTCCTCGTAGGAGGGGGTCCACTTGAACATGTCAGACTTCTTGAGTGCATGGAAGAAAATGTGGCACTTGTTTGCAGATCTGGAGATGAATCGGCTCAAGGAGGCTACCCGTCCTGCCAGACGCTGGACGTCTTTTATGCAAGCTAGAGATGGTATACTGAGGACCGCTCTGATCTGGTCTGGGTTAGCTTCTATCCCACGCTGAGTTACCATGTAGCCCAAGAATTTACATGATGAGACGCCAAATGAACACTTAGCTGGATTCAACTTCATGTTAACCTCCATAGTATCCCCGAGGTTCGGCAAACATCCTGTTAACTAACCGTTGATAGGTAGCCCCAGCGTTCTTCAAACCGAATGGCATCACTTTGTAGCAGTAGGTTCCCCTCTCTGTGATGAAGGCTGTCTTTTCTTGATCGTCCAGGTGCATCAAGATTTGGTTGTAACCTGAGAAGGCATCCATGAAACTAAGAAGCTCGTGGCCTGCAGTTGCATCAACCATCATGTCAATATGCGGAAGCGGGAAGGAATCGTTAGGGCATGCTTTGTTTAAGTCCGTGAAATCGATGCAGACTCTCCACTTTCCATTCTTTTTCTTTACCATGATGACATTTGCTAGCCATTCGGGGTAGTGGACTTCTCTGATCATACTGTTACTCAACAGCTTTTCAACCTCCTCATTAACGATCCGGTTGCGCTCTGGTGCGAATTTCCTTCTCCTCTGCTTCACTGACTGGTGATCTGGATCTACTTTGAGATGGTGAAGCATGGCCTTTTAGACTTATTCCCGTCATGTTGGCGTGGGACCAGGCGAAACAGTCTTCATTCTGTCTGAGGAATTTTATCAGCTTTTCTCTTGTTTCGGGCCCTAGACGAGAACCTATCTGTGTCTTTCTCTCAGGATCATCCGGGTGTATCTGTACTTCATCCAACTCTTCCATTGATGGTTGATCTGGCTTGGTCGGAAGGGTTGGATGAGACTGTAGTTGCTATAAAGCGTTATCCTTGCCCTTGAAGGCGTTCTTGTAACAATCTCTGGAAGCTTTCGGGTCACCCTTGATTTCTCGTACTCCCCATTTGGTAGGAAACCTAATTGTTTGGTGGAAAGTGGATAGGACTGCTCGCATGTCGTGGATCCAAGGTCGGCCCAAGAGAACATTGTAGGGTGAAGGGGCGTCTATCACCAGGAAGACTGTCTGTCTGTTTACTCCACTAGCATAGATAGGAAGGACGATCTCTTCGATAGTGTACTTCTGCTCAAAACTAAAACCAAATAGTGGGGTCGGCCTTCTGTTGATGTTTTCTTCTTCCAAACCCATAGCTTTTACTGATGCAAGGAACAGAATGTTCGCTGATGACCCTTCGTCTACGAACATTCTCTTCACAAGAATATTGGCGATCTGGAGAGAGACGACTAGAGCATCATGATGAGGGGCAGCCTGGGTGATCGGCTCATCATCTTCGAACTGAATTCCCTGATGGGAGTGTGACCGAGAAACTGGGTAGATTGACTGTATCTCATGGTGGCTGTTAGCCCTAGCGTATCGTGTGGCTGATCAATAACTTACCCCGCTGATTTCTGACCCCACGGAGATGAGTGAGCAGAAGCCTTTTGGTGTGGGCTCTCGCGGGGGAGGAGAAGTTTCTTTATTGCTTTTCTGGCTAATGGTGTGCTTTCCTTTATCGGTCAGCAGATCTCGGAGATGTCCCCTCTTCAATAGCGCGGCAACCTCCAAACGTAGGGCAATGCAATCTGGGGTGTTATGTCAATGGTCGCCGTGAAACTCACACCATTTGGTTGTGTCTCTTCTTGCTTCGGCGTTGAGCTTGTCTGGCCACCTAACGCTGGATCCCATTCCTTTCATGATCGCCACCACTTAGGCTGGTTCGACGTTCAGGTTGTAGTCTGGTATCTTGTATCAGCTCGATCCAATCTGTCTATTATCTGTTTTGGGTGGCTGACAGTCGTATTGTGGCTGGCAGTCATATGGTTTCCTAACTTTTTTCAAATGACACGCTGGGGGTTGGTAGCGGGTTTCGGTCGGTCTGGCATCTGGCTTCCTATCATTCCACCTCGAGTCATCCCTGGCGTGGATTACTCGATTTATCTCATCTTCTTCCCACCTTATTTGTATCACCACTCTGGCCAGGGCGTCTTCCATCGTTGTGCAGCCAAGCTTTGTCAATTCTTTGTACAATTCCCCATTCGGGAGGAGGCCTTTCCTGAATGTGTCTACAACTGTCTCGGGGTTGCAAGCAGGAATGGAAATTTTCTCCTTGTTGAATTTGCTGACGTACTCTTTCAGTGGTTCTCCCCTTTTCTGGTATACTCTGTATAGATCGGCCGACAATTTCTCGAGCTTCTTACTGCTGGCGAACTGCTCCATGAAGGTGTCAGTGAGTTGTGCAAATGAGTCAATGGAACCGTTTGGGAGATTTGTGTACCACTGAAGTGCTGGGCCGGCTAAGCTTGAACCAAAACTCTTACACATGTAGGCTTCCCTCAGCGCGCGGGGTATGGAGATAGTGAACATCCGTTGTTTATATGAGGCTATGTGATCGTTCGGGTCGGTTGTGCCATCATAGGGCCTCATACTGGGAATAGTAAATTTGTGGGGCATGTCAGCTAGAGCGATTGCATCCGTAAAGGGCGAGTCAGCAAGCAGTGAGGCTTGCTCTTCTTGGTGGGGATCGGCATTCCTGGTATTCGCCTCATTACTGCCTCCACATCAGCCAATCTCTTAGCCAGTATCTGTTCCATAGGAGAGGGGGATACCACTAGGTCATCCCGTTTGATCGGTTCTGCCATTGCATTCGCGCTCGGTATATTTTGTTGAGTCATTCCCCTTGGTGTAGCTTGGTGGATCACCCCTTCATGTAAATCCTGATATCCCAGATCGCCATTCATTCCCTCCGATGGGGTGACTCCCATTGTAAATGATCGGGTGTTTCGTCCTACATGGATGGTCAGGGGGGTTGACTGGTATTCGTTCGGCCCGCTAGGATGGATGGATTCTAGTGGTATACTTAGGTTTGGACGGCCGTTCAACCCCCAAGGGTGAGCCGAGCCGAATGGCGTTTGTGTAAGGATGGACTGAAGGTTAGGTGGAGTGGCAAGGATGGACGGGTCTTGTTGGAACGGGGTTTTCTGCCGCTTGGGCGTCTTGGTCTCGAGGTTGTGATGGATCGGTTAAGAGGGGTTCTATCGACAGATCTTTTCCTCCCTAAGTCAGGATCGAGTCCTCTCCCACTGATGAATTCAGTTGACGTGACCTTTTATCTGAAACTCCAGGCCCGTGCTCTGGGGTTTGGAGAGGTTGCATAGATGGAACTGAGACGCGGAACCGATTTGGTGGTACCTGAGAAGGCAGAAGGTCGAGGTCATAAAACTGGCTTACCTTTTCTTTCAGAGACTGGTTCTCAGCCCTGATGGAGGCGTTTTCGGTCCGGATGGCAATGTTCTTAGCTTCCAGTGCGGCTACCTTGTCTGAGTTTTGTTGCATGAGAGCGGTCAAAGCCTCTAATTTGGCCTTGAGGCCGGGGTTTGCATCGTCAGAATTGTCAGCCATGGAAAGTTCCCCTACGTAGCAAGGTTCATCGAGCCAGATGATTGCTAGAGGCCCCACGGTGGGCGCCAAACTGTAGACGTAAAAATCTACTGGTATAGAAGGAAGGATTGATCCTGTGAGATTGAGGCCACTAGCAATCTGTTGTACTTGTACACGTAAAGAAACACGCGTGAAGTGACGAAAAACACCGGGGTGGTGTTTGTCGTAGGCACTCCGACGCTCAAGTCAGCAAGTCTGAAAGAGGCTAATATAGTGAGGGCTAGGGAGTCGAGAGGTTACCGGAAGTCTAGTCAGAGACTGTGACTACTGCCGTGATGTGAAGCTCTCAAGTAGGAGCTTCGGGTATGAAGGTGTATTGTAATCTGTCCCTAGTGAGAGGGCTGGCCTCTGTTTATATAGTGATTGTCTGGTCTCCCAATCCTGGTGGGAGTAGGGAGTCCTAATGTGACTCTGATGCAAACCCTAGAAGAATTAGGGCCGTGATAAGTTGTCTTACCAATGTCCGAATAGGAATGTGATTCTGATTAGAAGAGCAACTTCGAGTAGGAAAGTGTTCCGAACAGGAAGGTGACCTCGAATAGGAGATTGCTTGGGAATAGAAAAATATTCTGAGGGTCATGGGCCCTGATTCGCCCATGGGCCGAGATTGGGAGACTCGTACCTAGGTGGTTTGGGCCGGCTATATCTTGTCTCAAATGGACCTAATCCGGATTGGGATTGGGCTTGGCTTCTTCATTGTTAGGCCCGTTTTCCTATTTGGGTCAAGGACGATTTTTGGCCCTAACAGTCCTTTTGAGATTATTTATAGACGACCTCCATAGCATACATTGGACTTCAGTGCCTTTGCCAAAGCTTCCAAGTATGAGCATTATAGCTGAGCATATGATTAATAATGGGACTGACGTCCGTAACAAGGTGAAGAAGAAATTGAAAAAGTCTACTGCAAAGTACAAGGCTGCTGCGAATAAGCATCGAAGATTCAAGTCTTTTAAAGTGGGAGATAAAGTTATGGTTCACCTACGCAAAGAAAGATTTCATGTTGGTGAATACAACAAACTTGAACAACAGAAGATTGGGCCCTTTTCCTGTCTTGCAAAAGATTAGCAATAATGCCTACATTGTGGATCTTCCGAGCACCTATGCCATTTCTAAGACTTACAATGTCCAAGATTTGTTCGAGTATCATGAGTTTGAAGGAGTTCCTTAACAACTCGAGGACGAGTTTCTTGATGTAGGAATATTTCTCTTCCCATTTGGGACTTGATTAGCATTTTTCAATAATTATTTATTGCTATTACCAACCAAAAACTCGGAAAGAAAGAATGCAGATTAGTAAATAAACCTAAGTTTGGATTTAATATACAAATTAACTTGTAGAAATTGATTTAGTAAAAGTCGAGAATCACTGAATTAGTAAAAGAGATTGGTTATTGATGGATGATATTTGAATGTAAAACGGAAAATTGTAAAAATTAGTCAGTAAAATAAAAGGAAAATTTGTCTTGAAGGGTGTTGGGCAGGTGAAAAGCTCTGATGGACCACTTGTAATGAAAATCCCAAAGTTCTTATAGGATCAGTTCTCTTCTAATTCATTAATAATGTGGAAGTTTTAACAACTTGCTTTATGGCCCCAAATACTTTCCTTTACTCAAAATCCCTTTTATTTTTGCGTTACATAAAGCTTGGAGCTGCCTTTATATCTTTTAAGATAACAATTGAATTGGAGATTGAGGTTAAGGTTGAAGAAATGTTCTCCATACATTCTTATCTTATTTATTTTAAGACAATAATAAAAATTAGCTCACAATCCAATCTTATAAACTTTCATTCATAATTTTGATGTATCAATTCGCAATTAGTCTTGCAATTACCTAATCTATTTTGGGTAGGGGTTTGTTTTATTGTGCTCCTAAAATCTCTATTTGAATTATGGTGTATACATTTGGTCGGGAGATCTTGAACTTTGTAGAGGACGATCTTCTGAAAAGAAGGTTTTTGGTACACACCAAGGGACGATATTTTCGGAAGTTGTCCTTTTGATCTGGTTTTTTGCATGGCAGTGGAGAAAAATGCGAGGAACCTAACCCAAAAAAAAGAAGCAATTTGCACGAGTTGTGTTTTTTTAATGATTTTTTGAAGATTAAAATTTTGGAAAATCGTAAAAAATCACATATTATGCATTTTGGGTCGAGGTTTGTTTTGTTGTGCTTCTAAAATCCCCGTTTGAATTGTGGTGTATGTATTTGGTCAAGAGATCTTGAACTTTTTGAGGGACGATCTTTTGGAAAGAAGGTTTTTAGTGCACACCAAAGGCGTGCACACTAAGGGACGATCTTCTCGAAAGTTGTTATTTCGATCTGATTTTTTGCATGGTAGTGTAGAAAAATGCAAGGAACTTAACCCAAAAAAAGGAAGCAATTTGCACAAGTCGTGTTTTTTTAATGATTTTTTATATATTAGAATTTTGGAAAATCGTTAAAAATCACATTTGATGCATTTTGGGTCGGGGTTTGTGTGGTTGTACTCCTAAAATCCTCATTTGAATTGTGGTGCATATATTTGGTCGGGAGATCTTGCACTTTGTTGGGGACGATCTTTTGCAAAGAATGTTAGGTGCACACCAANCCGCTTGGGTTCCTTGCACTGGCTGTGTTGGCTGTGGCTCTACTGTCTTTAACACCGCCAAGTCTTCTTCTTTCAAGCCTGTTGGTTGCCAGGCCGCTCAATGCAAACAGGTAATGTAAATTATTTCATTATTTCTGTAGAATTTGGGAAGTTCCAATGTTGATTTTATTTGCAAAAGAGATAAACATCTTCATGATAATTACTTGAACAGGATTTCAAAGTTCAAACCTGACTGTCAAATTGGGTCCCTAGTGGGTGTTTCCATATGATTGTTGTCACTATATCTACACATTTCTATCTCCTTCTTCTTTGTAAGGTTTTAAAAACGATTTAGATGCTTTTTAAAATATTAAGAATGATTTTAGACGTAATAAAAATATTTTAATTAGAATGAATAGTTTATAGCAAGTCTGTTCAAATATCATGAGGTGTGCTAGAAACACTATTTATAGCAGTATCTTTTTCACTCTCTCATTCTTATTGTCATCCGTGTGCAAGATATAAAAAAAGTATGAAAATATGTATATATATTTTTTTTCATTTTCGTTAGCTTTTTGTACACATATCTAATGGTAAGTAAAAAAGGGGTGGGTCTCCCCATACCCGAATGTATTAGACTAATCCCAATGGGGGCTCAGGTAAGTATCCTTGGCCATAAAGTGCTTCTAGTGCGGTTCGAACCCTGATATTGCAAGTAAAGTTTGCCCCACTTGGAGCCCAGTTAGGCACACCTCGTGATTTTTCATCACTCTTTAACTGATGCCAAAAGGTTCACGGGTGACAAAATATTACAAGCTACTTTCCAAACATAGAAAGTTCACATGACTTCACAAGATCACATAATGACACTAACAATCAATGCACATGAAATTTCAGGTACCAAACCCCACTTGCGGCGGCACCACCTGCTCATTCAACCTCACCTACGGTAGCTCCACCGTCGCAGCCAACCTCTCACAAGACAACATCACTCTAGCCACTGATTCAATCTTCAGATACACCTTTGGCTGCATAGCAAAAGCCACAGGCAGCTCTGTGCCTCCCCAAGGTCTATTGGGCCTTGGCCGTGGCCCGTTATCGCTTCTGTCCCAAACCCAAAACTTGTACCAATCCACATTTTCTTACTGCCTTCCTAGCTTCAAGTCCGTCAACTTTTCTGGGTCATTGAGACTTGGGCCCATTGGCCAGCCCAAGAGGATCAAGTACACACCGTTATTGAAGAACCCAAGAAGATCTTCACTTTACTATGTGAATTTGATGGCAATTAGGGTTGGAAGAAAAGTTGTTGATATCCCACCCACTGCTTTTGCATTCAATCCCACTACTGGTTCAGGAACCATCATTGATTCTGGTAATGTTTTTGTTTTCTCAATTTATTTTTTGTTTATTCTATAATAAAGGTACATATCTTATGCTTAGGGATGTTAATAGAAATTTATACTAAGATGGGTTCAATTCCATGTCTAGGTAATGGTTGGTCCAAATTAGTTATGTTCTTTTAATGTGGACAAAAAATTGTGGGATGAAATTGGACACTAGTTTTAAGTCAATTAATGTCACATTTTCTTTGTACTGCTGGAAAAAACAAAATATCTAAAGCTAAGAGCCAAAAAAGGGATATAAATGGGTTCGTTGGAATCATATATATTATCAGTAGTCGTGATTGTGACAATTATTAATTGTATTGACCTTTCTTTATTATTATGGTAATCAGGCACGGTTTTCACCCGGCTAGTCACACCAGCATACATTGCAGTGAGAGACGAGTTTCGGAAACGGGTTGGCCGAAACTTAACAGTGACAACCCTAGGTGGATTCGACACGTGTTATTCGGTCCCAATAGTTGCACCAACGATAACCTTGATGTTCTCGGGGATGAATGTGACACTCCCACAAGACAACCTGCTAATCCACAGCACAGCAGGCAGCATCACATGCCTAGCAATGGCTGCGGCCCCTGACAATGTGAACTCAGTGCTGAATGTGATAGCCAACATGCAGCAACAAAACCACAGGTTTCTTTTCGATGTACCCAATTCCAGGCTCGGTGTGGCCCGTGAGCCCTGCAGCTGAGTTTGATGGCTTTTCGTGTTTGTTTGGTACTAATTTTTAAGAGGAAAAAGGGCCAAATTAAAATTATTTTGTAGCTTTTTGTAATGGGTTCGTGATTTGTCACGGGTTCTCTGTATTTGTCCAGGTGTTTGCATTTTCTTCAAGATGATGATAATTTATGTCACGGGTGACTAGAAGTCTTTCATGTACTTTTTTTTTGTTAAAATAATTCTAATCAATCAATAATACACCCCCTGGTTTCTTTATAGTTATTATTTCGAGTAACTTTTTCCAAAATAAATTAGATTGTCTTTTCTTTTTTAATGTTTCTCTGACCCACGTCTCCTTTCTTTAGGGAAAACTTTCTGAAAGGCTTAAAAAGAAAAGGGAGGGAGTAATATCTAAAACATGTTTCTTTAATCATTTTTGTACCGCAACCTTTTATGTTGGATTTGACTTTTGAGGTCAGTAATAGTATTTGTTTGGGAAGTGATCTAAGAAATCAACACTTTAACCCCTGAAATTGAAGACTTTAATCTTGTAAAATTTATATATTAACTCATTTAAATCCTCGGATGGGTATTAAAGTGTTATTTTCTAATTCTAATAAACTAATTCGTTATATATAAGACCCTAAATTTATCCTAAACTTGGTTTCAATATTGAATGTTAGATGTAAAATTTAAATAAATTAGAAAAAAAAAAGTAATTTTCTGTTTTCTATAGCTTCTAGTTTTGAAAATAGTTTAAAAATATTATACTAAATATATCTTTCTTTATTAAAAATATTAACGTACAACTTAGTTTTATATTAAACTTAGTTTATTCAAACTTATTTTTGAAAAACAACAAAATTGGTAGAATTATATTTCAAAACTTTTTATTTAGGTATATTTAAACATTGATTAATTCAATATTTTCATTAGGAGTAACACTATCCACTAGTAAACTCTAATAGTGGCTTGCGTCTACTATGTTGTTTGTATGATCTTAAATAATGAAAGATGTATTTGCATGACATAATCGACTCATTACTAAACACTAATTAACTTAGATGATTATTGATAATTTGATCTTTACGATTATATTAATGGTCCAATAATATTATCAAATCGATGTCATAGCTTCACCCTAAGTTACATACTCCATATGACATTTGATTAATAATCACTAGACGTTTGATTATTGGTATGTAAGCATCAATTGAGGCCTTCATGACAAATGGCCTACATTAAATAGCTTTGATTTTGCCAAGCACTCATTTATATGGGCCTATGAAGCCCATTTAACATTAGCATAACTCGGCTTTTTATTAGACAGTTGGACTTTTCTAGGCATTAATAGCAAATAAAGGGGTGTTAAAAAGCCCCTAATTTTCTCTCACAAAAGTTCAATTTCTTGTTAAATGAGGTTAAAATAGTCATAAAAAGACATAAATAAAAGATAAAATTAATCAGTTTTATAATTGAAGGAGGAGTTGAAATAAATGATGTTGATTTACAAGAACATAAAATTAAGTAGTGATTTTTAACCCCACTCAGTATCACCGACACACCATAAAATATCATGATTTACATGTTTTGTACATATAAATTTGACTCAAACATAACTGCAATGTTTTTTTGTTTTTTCAATTTACAAATAAAATACCTCTTTTGAAGCATTTTGGTCCTTCAAAACTATGGAATTTGGGTCCAGGCTATTTTATGAGATTCTTTCCAAAATTGACTAGTTTTATTACGACCCTAAATTAGTGGCAATTAATGTAATTTCCCAAAATTGGGATATCATGTCAATGAGGCACACTTAAAAGTGTAATTGTATTTAAAGCAAAACAAGCTCATGAGCCAGCCATCCTCTATAATAGAGGTGAGCGGTTTCGGGTACCCTCTATTTTTTGGGAGAATTGAAACCGCACAATACAGGTTCCCAAAAAAGGAACCGGAATCGAAAACTATAAATTTCGATTATTAAATTCAAGGAACCAGAACCTGATTCCTTACCCAGGTATCCTATGAAAAATCAATTACCCCCTATTAGTTTAAAAAATGACAAAAATATCTTAAAAATTTATAAATACACCCCTAACAAATTAAAAAAACCCACATTTAGTAGTTTTCAACTTTTGATTACTCATTCATTTGTGTCCAATGTGACTCATAAATCCTCTAATCTCTAGAAAACACTTGAATTCAATCAATTCATCACAATTCACATAAAATTTCTTAATCAAAACCAAAACACAAACAAGTTCCAAGCAGGATACCCGCTTTAGGTTTAGGTTTAGGTTCAGGTTCCAGTTCCGGTTTCGGTTCTGAAACTTGTAAGAACAAGAACCACATAGTGTCGGTTCCAATAAAATGGAACCGGAACCTACCTGAATAGTGTCGGTTTCGGGTAGGTTCCGGTTCCTGTTCTACCCACTACCCATGCTCACCCATCAAGAAAGGCATAATTGAAGAGTTCCAAATCAGATTTAAATTAAAAATGTTGTTAGCAAAGTTTGAGTGGTCAGTAGACAATCCGAATGCTAGATTAAAAGAGAATTTAGGGAACCAAACCCAGAACTGGGCATACCATTAGCAAAGTTTACTACTAAATAAACAATTGAAAGCCACAATATTAATATTTAGTCAACCAAAACCAAATATGCCAGCAGATTAGAAGAAAATGTCCAATGTTATTAATTATTTGAATGACTTCATCAGGCGATTTCAAATCTAGATTCTAAATCATGGATCATCCAAAAGCCTACCAGGCATCATGCCTAGACATCAAATAATCTGTTTATTTTAACTTCTTCATTGTTGCTTTCTGAAGCGAATAGAAAACTTTGCCAACTCTTAAGCACACAGCTAAATGACAATCTGGTATGTGTTGCAACTTTATTGTTGTCCCTTGATAGAGGAAAAAAGTATTCAACAACCACTAAATTAACAATCCATGGTAGAGCAGTGTGCGTTGCAAATTCATTGTTGTCCCCCTAAAAGAAGAAAAAGGTACGCAGTAACCAGAAGATTAAGAATCCAGTACAACAGCAGAATGGTTCAGTTAATTAAACAAGAAATCCAAGCTCCAGGGGCCAATGCTAGCATGAGTAGTAGATTTGCACAATTTTGAGAATCTAGTAGAAAATTAGGCGTTGCAGGAGAACGCAGGAGGATACATGTTCTCAGATTCTTTAGCACCGCAGAATACATTAGAGACTACTGCATATGTAAGAATGTAACAGACCTGAAAGTTTTAATCACTTACCAAGTTGATTAAACCTAAGCGGAATGGTTTGCTAAGTTGATTTTAGTGCTTATGAGTTTGTTCATTCATTACCAATACAAACCAAACATTCATGAAACAAAATAAAGCACACCAGGGGATTTTACATGGTTCGGCAAAATGCCTACATCCCTCACAGATATATTTTTGAAAATTCAAAAACAAATTAGAAACAGGGACTTTTAGCATACTGTTATATTTTATAGAAAGAGACTATTAGAACATGAAAAGAAAATTTGTGATACTTACAAATCAAAATTTCTGATAGTTAAAATTTTGTATTTCCTTTAGTGCATCGCAAAAGTGCAGTACGGCACTCAAAGGCTAAAGAAACACAAGCAAATCTAAATATAAGAATATATGATTTAAAAATTGATCAAAACTTAATATGCATTAAAATAAATTTACAGAAGAACTCAAAGAGGAGAATAAAAAGATGTCATACTAATTAAGAAAGGTCTAAGAATAAAGGAAAAAAAAACCTTTAATAGATGTGCTGGATAACTAGACATTTTTGAAGTGATCGTCTAGAACCCTTTTCGTGAAGTGAGTAATCTTAGCCAATCCTTCTCTCTGTTCTAGATTTCTTTCCATCAAGAGAACTATTTCTATATAAAAGGAAAATACAAGTCTAAACATGTCAACATATATGTAATAGGACGAGCAAGAAGAAGAAATAAGGCAATTACATTAGAGTTCACCTCAACAATTTATAGAGCTGAATATGTTCCAAGGATGAAAGGTGTGTGTTAGGATACACATTGAGATGGAAAAGGGTGGGCTATGGGTTATAAAGGGCTTGGACACCTCCCTTGGTAAGCCGGTTTTCAAGAGAATTCTATCAAGCCCCTGAAAGACCAGTGGCTTCCTATCAGTGTGGTATATATTTCAATCAATTCCTGAGAGTCAAGAACGAACAAATAACAAAATGTATATGTATAGAAGAAACAAAAGACCATAAAGAAAATCTGTGTACTCACTACTCAATCTATTCCTGTTTCTTGCATATTTAATTGCAATAGTACACCAACGGCTGAAGAAACATTAATGCATTGTGTAGCCACTTTTAGTGCCATATTCTTGTGTACAGAAAGATATGAATAGAAAGTATGAGAAGATAAACAATAGAACAACCATACATACGAGACAATTAGATTTCTTATTTATTAAAATATACAGAGACCAAAAACATTTGTGAATGCTAATTATTCACAATGGACAACTAGGATTTTGGAAAGATTATAACCTTGGACAGGAGTGTACCAACAATTCTTCATTATGCTTTGTCTGGCTCCATTCCTCAAAACTATGTTTCAAGACAAAAATTTGAAATATTAGAAAAGACCAAGTAATTTTTTTATAGATCTAATTTTCAATCACTATGATCACTGTATCAACTAACTATAATATCATAAATATATCAGTTTAAACATTTCAAAATACATGAAGAATACATATGAACTGAAATGAACAACAGAATAACCATATTCAATTCAATGATGATGTGCAACTGTTAGAATCTACTTTGCCTCAAAATGTTGCTTCTTGGTTTGAAACAGCCAGATTTCCTCTGCGTAACTGAAAATTCACAAAAATTCTGTTCATTATTGTCGGCAACTCAGATTTGTTATGGAGTAAAGTAGCCTGCAAAAAGAGTTGACATGTTTACAATATTTATAAGCTGAAGAATTGATTTGCAAAATCATCTTCAGAATCATGTAGAAAAGTAATCACTGCAGGAGGACAACTTTTTGACTCTGTATCACAACACGGGGACTACTGCACTTATAAGAATGTACCACGAGTCCAGAAAGTCCGAACTGTAGCTGATTCTAAAATAATTTAACTCCCCAAGGTACACAACAATCAGCACAACTAACTACATAAGCTGCATAAAAGACTTTATGAGAAACACAGCATGCAGTACCAACAAATCTCAAATTATGTGAAAATCTACCCATAAATGCTGCTAATTAAAAAAGAAGGAAAGTTAAATGGAATTTAAAAGTGCCAGTTTTGATATTTAATAAGATAGAGGCTTCTCAATTGAAATAACTTTCAAACTTGAAATTTTTTACAAGGATAAAAACATGGTAAATTATTTCTAATATGTAAAGTTTGGAAAATTCTAATGCATGCTATATACACAAATTGGTACATGTTCTAGAACATATTGCCGCCAACACTATTGTCTTCATCCACTCACAAGAGAAAATATTATGGTTGTGAGAAGAAGAAATAAACCAATTACAATGGAGTTTACCTCAACATTTTATACTATGAATCATGCTCTCAAGCATAAGACTGTGATATATCACAAATCAATTTCTGAAAGTCAGAATGAAAAAAAGGCACTTTTAGTAAACAAAATTTAACACAAAAGAACCAAAAGAAGAAAGAAAATTTGTGATACTTACTACTCAATGTTTTCGTATTTGTTGATAGTACTTCCAAGGCAGAAAAAACTCAGCGCATTTGTAGCACTTTTAGCTTGCCATATCTTGTATTAATGGTATATGAGAATTGAAATATGACAGAGAAACAATTGAAAAAAGCTATATCTTATTTATTAAAAAGAACAGAGACCAAACAGATATTAATGTACCCTTAATATTCATAGTGCTTTCGTTAAAAACAGCTAGCTAGATTTTACTCTGCATATCTTAGTATCCATAAAGTAGCCTGAAGGGGGAAATTATTTTTAGTAATGAATGTAAAGCAATTAAGAAGAGCAAAAACTCAATTACTTACGTTTTCTGGACTCTGTTTATACTCTTCAATTGTAAAATTGGATTGTGGAGGTGAATCACATCAGAACAGAAAAAAGAGTGGAGCCTCTCAGTCTTCTCATGCATACCATTGTCATTGTGGGTATATCAGACTCCCTCTAGATTATGCTACAATGAAAAATGACAGGTTAAAAAAGAGAATAGATAACAAGCATTCAATTTCAAGTCGTAAAGAACGGATATAAAAGTGATGAATGTCTAATGGATGCTTAATGTAAGCATAAAATACAGCATAAACAATTATTTTGGGATATGTAAGCTTGGATAATAATTTCCATTAAACATACAATCAGACTACCTGCTTACTCTAATTGAAACACAGCACATAATGATCATGATCATCAAGATTGAGTTGTTTCAATGTGGGTAATGTGCTGAAGCCTTTGCAGAAGGTACAGTACCAAAGTCCAAACAAGATTGGCATGAAAGAGAACAGACTCCAAAAGCCCATCATTATAGCGCGCCATTATCATCACTGAATATATCAGGCCCCTTCTGAAATAAGATGTCAGTCACCAGAAATCACCAGATTACGCAAAATCACACGTGTAAATAAACTAAAGAAGAGAGAATAATGAGAAAGATTGAAGAAAATTTATGCATTGAATAAAATTATGTGAGAACCTGATGAAGTAGAGGCGTGTTCCTTTGAATTTAATAGGTAGCAGCCATCTTCTTGAATCCACCGGTCATCAATTTTAATATTTGGGATGTGAGCAATCTTTGGCCATTCAACACCCATATTGCTTCCACATTTTTCTAACAATTGGGGACACTCTTTGATTTCCAAGTATTGTAAATGCATCCCTTCTGTTAAAACCGTCAAATTATCACAAAACCAGATTTTAAGACTCTGCAGACTAGTAACTCGTTGAAATCCCTTTGGAAGAGAGACCAATTCATGAAGGGCAGAAAGTTCTACAGAGCGTAGGCTGGTAAGGGCTTCCCATTGCTTGTCATACTCTTCGGTTAGCAAATCAAGCGTGTCAGGATATGAAATACGCAGAGACTTCAATCTGGAGACAAGGCCAGCAGATATGGAAGGTGTTGATGATGACACATTACTCATCATCTTTTCCAATGGCTTCAAGCTACTACCATATAATATATCATCAAGTCTTCCAGAGATGGACACAAAGGCATCGAAGTCAGACTGGGGCAATCATCGATATATAAATTGGAAAGACAAGGAAACGCAGGTAGGTCTTTTAATTGCATTATGTCTCCATCATCTCTCCTCCACCATCCCTTTAGATTTGTACAAGTCAAAATTTTGAGTTCCTGAAGGGATGGAAAAAATGACATTGACATTGTGGAAGAAGCATCTGATATATACTCTACGGCCATAAGAAGACTCAATCTTTTCAAAGAAGGTAATTGATCCAATGCCGGAAGATGTCGACAATAATAACAATTGGTAATTTCAATTTCAATTTCAATTAGAGTTCTTAGGGTGGAAAGCCAATTAGGAATCCTCATACCTTGAAACCCATCTATAACAAGATATTTTAGATTTTGGTGTGGTTCTAGGCTTTCTAACACTAAGTCATCATATTGAGGCTCACCGAATCCAAATGCAGTCCAATAAAACTCTAGGGATTGAATATGTTGCGCTGCTTTTAAGTTGGACAAAGTGGGCTTTGATGTTGCAATTTGCAATTTGTCGATTGCTAAACCTCCTCTCAAGTTGATGATTAACTGATTTAGCTCATTTAGATCAGCAAAATCTCCATCCTTCTCACCCAATTTAAAACATGATAAAACTTTGAAGACTAGTCAATTGCCTCAGTCCACGCGGCATTCCAACCAAATTATAACAGCCACCAACCTCAAGGCATCTAAGATTTACCAACTTTATAATATCTTTTGGTAACTTTTTGAGTTGTCCACATCTATTAACTTTTAATACTTGCAAATTTCCTAACATCTTCATAGAATTAGAAATTTTATTAATTTCTCTGTTATCTGACAAGTCGAGATAGCGTAGATGCTTCAATTTACCAATTGAATTTGGTACATTCTTAATATTAGAGGCATTCAAACCTAATGTACGCAAACATTTAAAACTTGAGAACATTTTTCTGTAATTGGACTCATTCAAGTCATTCAAGTCATTGTAATCGTAAAGTGAACCAGAATGGAGTATTAATGTTCTTATTGATTTGCTCTAAACAATGCATTTGGGATGTTCCATGATGACTCTAATTTAGAATCAAATGAAACATGACAAAGTTAATTCATCAACATTTCTTGCATCCAACTTAGCCAAGATACACTCAGGTTTGGCAACCAAAGTTGCAAGATCATGCATAAGATCATGCATCTTGCATGTCACCGGATAATTCTCGTACGTTACATCTTGAAAAAATGAGCGAGAAACTAAATTAACAAAATACTCATGACCAATATCTTCAAGAGATTGGTTAGCATATGGTGATTGAAGAAATCCTTGAGCCATCCAAAGATTAATCAATGACTCCTTGTCAATCTCAAAATCTTTGGGAAACAATGAACAATAAGCAAAACATTGTTTCAAGTGTGAGGGGAGATTATCATAACTCAATTTAAGTGTTGGTATAATATCACTTTCTTCTTGTTCATCGATTTTTATCAATTCATCTTCCATGAAATGCAACCAATAGGATTCCTTATTATTCTCATAAAGTAAGCGTCCTATTGTTCTTACGGCAAGGGGAACCCCAACACATCTTGCTACAATATGCTTCCCAATTTCTACTAGTTTTGAGCATTTTGGTTCAATTCCATCTTCAAAAGCCAATTTTGTAAACAAAGACCAAGACGCATCGTCTGTTAGGCTTTTCAAATCATAAATCAAAGAAGGTTTGCTAATAATTTTTGCTACTTGTTTACTACGAGTAGTAACCAATATCTTACTTCTTTTCACATCATTCACTAATAGTGTTTTCAACTGAAGCCACTTCTCACGATTCTCATTCCATATGTCATCCAAAACTAGTAGATATTTTTTTCCATTAATTTTTTCATTAAGGCATTGTAGCAACTCTTCAAGTTAAAATTCTCAAATCCTACTTTTCCAGCATTTATAGATTTTAGGATGTTTTTAACAATTGTTTTCACACTAAACTCATCAGAGACATGTGTCCACATTCTTAAATCGAAATGGTATTTGAGCTTTTCGTCAGTGTAGACAAGTCGAGCAAGTGTGGTTTTTCCTAATCCACCAATACCAACTATAGAAATAACTGAGACATCCTCCTCATAATTTGAGTCTAATAAAAGTTGAATAATCTTATTTTTATCATCTTCCCTCCCGATAACATTTTCAACTAGTTCAAAAGAATGTGTTTCTCTATTTGTATTCAAGATTGGTTTCTCAAAATGATGCTCAATAAAATGAAATTGGGCCATATCTTTTGCAATGTCATCTAGCTTCTCCCTAACATTCTTAATTTTATGAGCCATCTTAAGACTATATGCAATTTGGTTGGATTTGGAGAAGAAGATGCATACCTCTTTTGCCAATTTATTACCGATCATCAGTTCTCGCCTTATAAGTTCGGTGGATAAATCATCCAATAAGTCATCTGCTTCATAAAATACAACTTTTAGCCTTCGAAGCCATTCTATCACTAGTTCATTCTTCTTGCCATGCTGCTTCTCAGCATCGAGAAGAACCGCCTTGATACTACGAACTGTTTTGTTGATCTTAGTGATATCATCTTTAACTCCCCAAGCCAGTCCAATTTCTTGGAAAACAAGGGGGCCCAAGCCGCCCAACAACTGCAAGAGTTTCCCAGCCATGTCAAACAGAACTCCGTCAGCCATTTTTGGTTTTTGGGTTGCAGTAATTAAAGCTAGTGAAATTGTATGTCAAAGGGCTGAATGGGAGAGATGGAAATATTAGAAGAATTATATTTCTGATAGGGCATGCGTCAATTAGAACAAAAAGAATGAATGTTAAAGAAGGTTGCTTTATTCCAACATTGATGTATTTTTTATATGCTGAGGTATAATTGTCCATCAAGCAACCATGACATGGGAATGAAATAAAGCTTATGGCTTTTGAATTGGTCATTAAGTTTTCTCAAATTTATTCTCTTTAAAATTCCTAAAAAAAAATTATCATTTGTATAGGAAGTAAATAGTTACAAATAATTGGCATACGAGACCCATCATAGCAATTTTATATAAGAGCAATATTAGTCTTACAAAGATAAATACAAATAAAATATACAAAGACAATTGTTACCTTTGATCTTCATGATATCTCTTTCTTTTTCCGTTCTTTATTTGTTTTTTCTTTCATGCTAACATCATTTTGTAACACTCATTATATTATCTTTGTAAGGATAACATTTTTCTTTATATAATTCAATCAATCTTCAGTGATGTGGAACCTTCATACACAATAAGAAACTTCAATTAATAGCTAGCATTACCCATCAAACTACGTTTAAATAGCGGCAATTTCATTTTTGCTGTCGGACAAAGCAAAAGAATACAGAAATCCAATAAATGCAAAAGGCAAAAATATTCAATTCAAATGAATGCAAAGCATCATTGCTCGTGGTATTTCACAAGCCCCTTCTTTTTGTAAGCCCCATAAATAATTAAATTCATTTATAAATATATTACAATTTATTCCAAAATTACTCATATTAAATGATTGTTCTTAAAATTCAAGTAAACATATTTCAATAATATTTTATTTACAATTGAATCATACAAGTAAACAAAAATTATACAAAATTCATGTAAAATGATTACTTTGTCATTTATTTTTCTGGTTGGATGACTCAGTTGTAAGCATAACGTTGCTCAACCTATTTTTTTAATTCACATCTCATTAGTGACGGAGCCAGAATTTGGCTCTAGTGGAGGTAACTTAAAAATCAAATAAAATGTTAAAAAAATTTAGATTAAAAACTTGAAAATTGATCTTTTTAAATACATTAAATTTTGAGAATAAATCTTTATATAAAATATATCTTTGTGATTATTTCATACTGTTTGATTGATAACAAAATGTTGTTTACAATCCAAAATATAATTGGAGTGTTATTTAAATTAGAAGTCTAGATATATAAAAAAAATTCAATTCTTGGATTATAAGTACTTAGAGAATATTTTAAATATGATTGTATGACATATATCTTTATATATAACAAAAGAGTTATGTGTAACCCTTACCTTAAGTTTCATTTTATGCTTTGTTTTTTAAAAATGGTAACCAACCAATATTTGTTATTATGTTTTTAAAACTAATTAAATAATTAAACTACAGTTTTAAATTATGAAAATAATTTAATCAAAGAGATGAAAAAAGAAAATTTGGGAACCAAAAAATATAAGGATTTTTTTTCCTCGACTACAAGTGAAATAAAGGGTGTATATTGTTAAAATATAAAGTAGAAGGGAATAAAAAAAATTCATGCCCAACTGAACCCTTAGGGGCTCCGTCCAATGGCGGATCCAATTAATGACCATTGGGGAGTCCTGATCTTATATTTATTTAAATTTTACACTTATAAAATTATGAGATTTTGGGAGCAGTCCCCACGGTTAGTTTAATTTTATTTTTGTAAAACCCTATTTTTAATTCTAATATATATATTTCAAATTTTTTTTTTTTTTTTTTTTATGTAAGAGGATCTCTTAGTTTTTAAAAGTTTTATTGGGAGTGAAAATGAAAGGAATAATAACTGTTGGGTTTGCATTTAACTGAGGGGAGAAATCTTGGTATTTTTACATCAAAAGCTAATGTGACAAGGTCATGGTGAGAATAAGAGAATCTTGGGACAGCTTCATAATTCAAAGAAATTGTTTTATATATAAAGTGGGTTGTTCACCAAAAGTGAAGAAGAAGAGAGAAAAATCCATAAAGAAAAAAGGAAGAAGAAGCAAAGGAAAAGGAAAAAGAGAAGAGAGGGAAGAATGACTTTGGTCAGTTTTATCCATTTGATTTTTCTGCACTTGAGTTGATGGTACTTGAGAACCAAGCTGAGATTTATGTTATTGACATACGTTCTTGTAATGAATTTGCTGAGTTACAAGGAGTTGGTGATTTGGTTAAGAATTTAGTTTGGTTTAAAAAAGATATTTTGTATACGTTGGTGTATAAGCTTGTGAAAGTTGCGTTGGTTTTACCAGTTGCGACTACGACTGTGAAAAGGTTTTTTCTACAATGAATCTTGTAAAAAGTTAGTTATGCAATCGAATGGGAGATCAATGAATGATTGATTGATTGATCATCTATATTGAGAAAGATGTATTTGATAAAATTGACAATAAGATGATTATCTAACGTTTTCATAATAGGAAAACTCGCCGAGGACAATTGTAGAAAAATTGTTTTATTTTTACAAAAATTGTGTTTTTTGAAGATATTTATTTGTATTTTATAACTTTTTGTTGAAGCTCTTCGTAATGGAAAAAAAGTGTGATTATGCTTGGTTTTAATTCTTTTTTGTTTATATTTTGCCCCCATAGAGGGAAATTCCTAAATCCGCCACTGGCTCCGTCTAGGGATGGGCATTTCCCCGACCCGATGGGGATCCACCCCGCACCGCCTTGAATGGGGCGGGGAATCCCCGAAAAAGCCAAGGATGGGGTCGGAGATGATCCATTGAAAATTCCCTAATCTTGAGGACGAGCCGAGGGAAGGGGATTGTGCAATCCCCGCCTTGCACCATGAAATCTTGCCTGCCCCGCATCTTGTTATTTTATTAAGAATTTTATGTTTTTTTTTTCCTTTACGAGACTATATATCAAGTTAGGGTCCCATGATTTAAGAATCATGGTTTTAAGTAATATATCTAAATATTTACTTTTATAATACTTTCTAATATTTGTATTAAATTTATAGAAAAAATAATTTAAATGAGGGTGTCTAATAATTAAATATATGTATTATTATTTTGTGAATTTCACAAAATAATAATACATGCCCCAAAAATAAATTAGATTAGATCATTACAAAACCAATGTAGAATTTACACAATTGCTTAACGTTAACGAGTTACAAATTACACAAATTCAATTATCTTTTTAATTAATTAATTGATTAGTATATTATGATGTTAAACTTAATCAATGTTGGGAACTTGGGATAATGGGATTTATCCCTTTCACAAATGGACTAATTTTATTAGTTATAGTGGGGATAGTGCTTTATGAATTAATTAATCAATTTACCTAGTAAATTATGTTAAGATTGAATATAGTTATATTAATTCTATGAAAAATTAATTAATCAATAAGGCTAACTAAGTCTAAACTTGCATACAATTGAATAATTAATCAATTTACCTAATAAATTATGTTAAGATTGAACATAGTTATAATAATTTTATGAAAATTAATTAGTTAACAGGGTTAACTAAGTCTAAGTCTCAATACAATTGGATAATTAATCAATTTACCTAGTAGATTATGTTAAGATTGAAATAGTTATATTAATTTTATGAAAAATTAATTAATTAACAAGGCTGACTAAGCTTAAGCCTTCATATAATTGAATAATTAATCAGTTTACCTAGTAAATTATATTAATATTGAATATAATTATATTAATTTTATGAAAAGATAATTTATTAACAAGGCTGACTAAGCCTAAACCTCTATACAATTGAATAATTAATTAATTTACCTAGTAAATTATGTTAAGATTGAATATAGTTATATTAATTTTATAAAAAATTAATTAATTAACAAGGCTAACTAAGCCTAAACCTCCATACAATTGAATAATTAATCAATTTATCTAATAAACTATGTTAAGATTGAATATAATTATATTAATTCTATGAAAAATTAATTAGCTAAGTTTAAGTCTGCATACAATTGATTTATAGTAAGAAATTTGGTAGAAATGCCAAAAGAGTTAGTTGTTATACTAAGATACTTGATTAATATTCAATTCATAGAAAAATCTGCATATAAAAATGAGCCTTATTTATAGTGGGTAAAATGATAATTACAAAAGAAAAAAAAAAAAAACTAATTAGGAAACAAAATGGCATAAAAATTAATTCTGTCTTATTATATTAGCATTTTTAGGATCATTATTGATCCCTATGGGACAAAAATCCCTAAAAGGATGATTCCTCGTTTGGGAATAAATCACCGCAGGGGAATTTCCCTACAAAACCCCATTCATTAGGATGGGGCAGGACGAGTGATTCCATCTCCATGGGCCGGGGATGGGGGTCAGAGTTGAGATTGGGAACGGGGACGTGGAATGAGATCCCCAACCCACAACCATCCCTAGCTCCGTCCCTGCATCTCATATTTAGCTGTGATTTCCCTCTTGAAAAGGAAAACCATAAAAATCAAACTCTCTTCACATTGCACCAGTCAAATCTCCCTTATATGTTCTAACTTTAATTTCTAAAACCTAGAAACCATAGCTACAACTCGTTGTGCATACCAAGTGAACTCTAAAGAACTAAATCCAAAAATGTTTTTTATACCAAACAAGAAAAACTAGGTTCTTTACTTAAAAGTTCATAGCCATGCAAGATTTGTAGAGGAATAGAGCCCATAAAAAAATAAGTAACGTAACTGAAGAAATGAAAAAAAGTCAACGAAAGAAATGAAAAAAAGATTGACATTTAGATTCGTAGAAAATGGGTGCGGGTAAACCCGATAACAGTCGAGTATTGAAATTACTTTCAGGCCATTAGCGAAAACGGTTATGTTAAACGGATGAAGCCTAACACTTTCAATCTTCAAAATCGTGGAACAATAGGCAAAGAAGTGAGAACACTGACAAAAAGTCATGAGAGTGCAACAATTACGACGATTTAGGTTTCTAGTCTTTGGGA